TTCACTTACATGCAAATACCCTTGAGAAAGGTATGGTTCTGCCCCCAGATATGGGTTAATTAGTAAGACTTGTATCACTAAACCATTATTACACCCCCACTCCATTCTTATAATCTAAAAAAATTTTCTGGCTTTAAATAACTTGCAATGGGCTGGTAAGCTGTGAAAAAAAAAAAGTCAATCACTCAAAGAATACATTAAACATGTTTGAGTAAGTGCCCTGTTTTTTAAGCAATCAGAATTAAATCTATCAGCTTGCACATTTGAGAGACTTAATAAAGAAAATGGAAAACCACTGTCTGATTCAGCAAACTCATTAGACTGCTCAGCCAGCAAGATTCAGTTACCCTCTTAAAGAATGCACATCTTTTTATCCAGATCTTCTCAAAAGTTAATATCTGCCAACTTTTTATTTTCATATCCAAAATGTAAACAAAGCAATTCCTAAGGAATTAACAAATTTTATTTTTAATCTAACATTTTTTATTACTCAAACATGGCTCTTCACTAAAATAACATTTAGAGTAATAAGAAATAATCTCATAAGTTATATACATCAATGACAATTGGAAAAAAATCTTACATTTCGCCGACGCGTTTCGTCTTCTGACTTTTTCAAGGCAAAAATGAAATCGAAATGTTTTTGTTATAGTTACATTAAAATTCAAAATTAAAAAGATAGACGCTTGTGTCTAAGCCTTTTTTCTGGTTAATGTAAATTACCTTCATAGTAAGGGATTATTATTATTTTTTTTTTTTTTCCAATTGTCATTTGATACCAATCTGTCTTGTCCACAGAATTCATCTGGGAATTTAACTATATACATCGATGTTAATAAATTAGCTAAGTTCAAATTACCCTTGTTGATGTCTTTTATCTCAGGACTCAATTTTTTTTTTTTTTTTAAATCAATTTACAAGATCCATAATATTGACAGTGTAAAATTGACCAAACTTTTTACAGATTTATTGGGCTTAGTTGTTATTTATAAATATAGTTTGAAACTGGACTTAGATCATTGATATCTGCACTTTTTTTTTCATTTTCTGAATTTTTAAACTTTATTTCTAAAAAAATTGGGCAAGTGGAATCATGGGTGGTTATATTTTAAATTATTCTAAAATCTATTGAGTATTGTGGGTCCAAATGCAGTTAGGATTAATACAATAAATCAGAAATACCTGACCTCACTACCCATAATGCCCCATTGACTGGTATGTATAAATAGTCAAACCACTACACAAAACATGGCCTGAAGATTGTGTTCAAAAATTTTTTACAAATGATTTCAGATAGTTATAAAAGTAGTCCTTTGAAGATTCGACTACCCATGTGGCTTTGGGGTGGTTCCAATTCTCCCAGATAGGCAAGTGGAACCTTTAAAAATAGATATGCAACCTTTAAAATTCTATAAGACCCTCAAGCCACATTTTCAGAATTGAAAAACATTTTTTTTTTATCAATTATTTGTTGATAAAGGATCATGGCCAAAAAGACAAACATGTGCACTTAACAAGTTGGGTGTATGTACAAATGCACTTAACCTTGGATGTCATCACAGGTGCAGTGGATGACGATCGGAGAACATTTTCACCATGAATGTTGTCATATATGCCACGGGTATATTTTTTGTCTATAATCACTATTCCATTTTGCTTTACTGAATGGCAGTGTCTTTATGATAATGATAGTCTGTTTAGATCATTTAATAACATGAAACTTAGAATTATTGGTGTGATGTCATTTTTTCTTCTTTGTGTACACATATGTGAGATATATATATACATACACACACACACACACAAAGTATTAGGATGCCATATCTATTCTCGGTCAGTCTAGCTTGGCTTTTTGAGTATTTGGTATCTTATTAAGTGGAGGAAGTTTCCATAAGTCTTATTTTCATCTTTAGGCCCAGTTTTTTTTGTGGGGGGGGTTAAGGTTTTATTAATTCTATACACACACGATATTTATAGATTATGTTACTTGATTAGCAGGTTCCATTAGAGGGTCAAAAGGCATCAAAGAAAAAGTCAGTAAAGATGAAAAAATCAAAGAAAAACTGAAAAAAAGTGAAATGCAGTGGGATTAATTTTGGACTAGAATTTCTTTATCTTTTAGTTACTTTCTTAATGACAGCATTCAGCATGTTTTATATTCCATGAATGTTAAGTAGAATGGATCAGAAATAAAAGAATTAGCAATGCTAATGAAAAAGTAAACCTAAAAATATGAAAGAAAAACTAATAAAAATAATTAATACTAAATACAATGCTTCATCTAAGAAATTAAAGACAATTTAAGGTGACTATTAGTTTCATGTAATATCAATCATTTTTATATGACAGTGAATACTGGACAATCTTCTCACAAATGAGGAAAAAACTGAAGGCAACAGAATTGTGGTCCAACAGAAGGAATGCTGAAATACCATAGACAGAATGCATAAGCAATAAAAAAGAAAAATTGTAACAAAAGAAAGGCACTTATACTCAGAAAAAGACATTATGTAATGAGGAAGGAGGGCTTGGCGAATTTGACACTCACAAGACATATCACTGGCAAAAGGGACAGAAAGCGGCAGGCAACCTACCTGATAAGCTTATGTGAATGAAGAACAGGAGAGGGTGGCTTGATAAAGGGACAATGATGCTAAAAGCTACAAGGGACAGAACATTGTAAAGAACCATGATTGCCTATATCCTGAAGGGACATAGAACATGATTAGGTTTACTACAAGGTGTAAAGAATAGTCATTATGACTAAATTTAAATGGTATTTATTGGTTGGCTTTTAAAAACTAATAAGAATGAATGAATGAATGTGAATTTGTATCATATTGCAAGGTTATTTGTTATTTCTGATCATTTTTTTTTTTGCAGACTTGACCCCCTGATATAGTAGTTATCATCAATTATTATTTCAATGGAGATTAGAATATATCACCAATTGATGATTTAAACTTGTTCCAATGATATGGGCATCATTCATTCATGATTCAAGTTTAAATGATTAATTGGCAATTCTAGGATCCATAATGTTATATCATTTCCTGGAGTATTTGTCTACAAATAAAATTGAAAGCACAAAACAAAGACAATGTAATGTCTGTTTGCAGACTTCTTGAGAAAAAAAACCATGAAAGTAGTGTAAAGAATGAAATATTTGTTTCATTTCAGCTTTTTTTTCTCTATTTTGATAATTGAAAAGTTGAAATATCATTTATAATTTTTGTATATAATTAAAGTGAAAATAAGCAATACCCTTCTAAAAATTAACTTTCTTGTTTTTACCCACAAGTTTGTGTAACATTTTCCCGCCATTTAGAGTTACTGATTAAATATGAAAAACCTCAGTATTGAGAAAAAAATAAGATAACTTGAACCTTCATGCTCACTAAAAAAATTGTCAAAAGGATGGTTTTTTTTCCATTGACACTGCTATTATTTTAACTACCTTCACTCCTTGTCAATGTTTATAGTTTTAAAAAGCAATGATTACAATTGTAATAAAAACTACATATGATGAAAGGGAATTTATAGTTTTTTTTGTTCTTGAGAATTTACAACAAAATATTAAACAATTTATTTATTAGATTGTTTCTTTACAAGAATAATTTTTTTGTTTACAACATTCTAAAAACTAATACAATTGTATGAAGAGTTAACACTAATGCATTGTAATATTTATCATTTACCAATTTATAAAGAAATGAATATGGAAACGATTTTTTTTATTCATAAATTTATAAACATTTACTAAATTATTAAAATATGTGGACCAACAATAAGGAAATCCTTAGTATTTACCATTTTATAAAGTTTGAATCAATTGGCAATTAACTGATATTTCACCAGCCACTCCAATAAACAATATAAATAATCTACTGTGACAGCCACAACCTAATCAACAGTATTGATTTCCCAGCTAAACTGTGTGGGTGGAGGAGGAAATGGGTAACCTCAACATCCTTGGTGCAAAAGGAACTGGCCAGCCATTGCACTATTTTACCTTTAATGTCACCATGAACCACAATTATGAGGAGTGATGATCAAAGCAGCTCAAAATGCACTAACTGATGATGATGATGCATTGTTAGAAGAGATCATCATAGACAAGACAGAAGTTTATTTAAAATTTTGCATAATTAAAACTCAGTAAGATTTCCATTGTAAATTCTAAAGCAAGAGCTAATAAAATCCAACTCGCTCACATGTCTTGTTGGTTTTACTAAGGAGTATGGGGCCCACAGCTTTCAATACACTAGGCATTGTTGCTGTAGTTACTACAGGAAGTAGTTTTTTTTACAAGATGGAGTCACTAGCCCCATGCCCAACTGATTTTTTTTAATTCAGAGTTGTCCTTCTAAACCGGTAACCAATCAAGGCTGAAAAATAGTCTGTTCTACTATTTCACCCATAGCTAGGGGTAGAAGGGATGGATTCATACCTTTCCCAAGAATATTTGTGCAAAAGTGAATGTAACAAACTTGACTAGAATTCAAGCTCGTTCTGAGTTACTAACCAATTGCACCACTTAATAAATCCAAAAATGTTACAATTTTGATTATAAATAGAAAAGGGAATTATCATTTGGCCTTTTCTGAATGAAATTAAAAGCTGACCCTAATTAAAAGTACTCGGCTAAAACTTTCTGGGGAAAAAAAAACCCTCATACAAATGAACAATGCGAACTCCAAGAAAAATGAAAATGTTTATTATATTCTCAATATGACAGACGGCCATAGATAAAGTTCATTATATAATGACACTTATATAGGTTACATAATGCCAAGTGTTAAGTTATAGAAAACAATACAATCCATTCATCAACAATTATAGAGAGAATGAAGAAAAAAAGAAAAAGATTTGAAGCATTTCTGCCAATGGCAGAATAGGATAGCGGTGAGAGAGAAAAGATTTTGACAAGCAGAAAAATGTTCACTTTCATAATACACAAATCATTCATCAGTCACAAACATAAAAAAAGGTGAAGAATATCACAGAGCTTCAGTTTCTGCCAACTGCCTAGCTGACTCGGCAAGTTTCTTCTTCTTTACACTGGATTCATCACTGGCTGCCTTTAGACAAGTCTGAGAAACAAAGAAAAAAATATATAAGAAAGAAAAAAAAAAAAATCAGTTTTTCTTTTACTAACAGGTACATTTTTTTGTTTCTAATTCACTTATTTTGATATTTTAATCTTATATACTTTTTCCTAACACTTTCACTGCAATAATATTGTTGCCTGGCTATCCTGGCACATTTTAGGAAAAATTGGAAATTGCTATTTACTGGAAATAAATGACTAAAGATACTGATAGTGATTTTTCAAATACATTGCCATTTAAGTTCCAGCCAGATACTCTGCAGCACAAACTAAGCTAAATGCCACCTGAAATACATGACAAAACAGATCATATTGTACACAACTATATATCTACACTGGTCTTGAAATAGTAAGTGCTAGTTAGTTTATAACACAAATGCTAGGGACCAATCTTGACATCTTGAGAAAAAAAAAATTATATAGTTAAATTCACAGATAAGATAAATTGGTATAAAATTGGAAAAAAAAAAATCTTAGTTTTTTGCCAACACAGTTTGTCTTCCAACTTTTTCAAGGCAAAAAATGAAATCAAAATGTTTTTGTTGTTATAGCTACATTACAAAATCCAAATTTAAAAAATGGAGATGCTTCTGCGTAAGCCTCTTTTTGGTTAATATAAATTTCCTTTATACTAAGAGTTTTTTTTTTCTCTTTCCATGTCAACAATATAGTTAAATTTTCAGATCATCTCTTATATATTAGGAAATTGGCTTAAATCCAACACATTTTTAATGGATACTCATATTTGAGTAGATGCTCCGTCTGTTATTTAGTTACTACACTATATTTATTTATTTACATCTACTGACCTGAATATTTGAGAAATCTTATTAGAAAAATATGCACCCTACGGCAGGATTCGAACCTGTGTCCCCTATGGGAAACCATCATTAGATCTGATGTGCCTTAGAACACATAGAACCTCCTGATCAAACAAAACCTGAATAGTGCTTTTGAACACATTTTTCCCAATTCTCAAAATATACATATCTGTTCCATTTCGTAACCTAATGTAAACAAAGACAATTTTTTTTAGGAAATGGATTAAATCCAACATATTTTTAATGGATACTCATATGAGTAGATGCTCTGTTTTTTATTTATTTATTTATTACACAGTCTATGCATTTATTTACATCTACTGGCCTTAATATTCAAGAAATCTCATTGAATATACAAAGGCTGGTAGATGTAAATAAATTAATATACTGTTTAATAAATAAACAAAAACAGAGCATCTGCTCATGAGTATCCATTAAAAATAAAAAAAATTAAATAAATAAATATATATATATATATATATATATATATATATATTTTAACTGATTTAAAATATTTTTTTTTGCTACACAGTAATAACCATGTTTCAAAAATGGAAGCTAAAAGCTTCGAATTTAATTTTGTAATTAAAAACATTAGTTCCATTTCATCTTCAAGCGAATTTTGGAGTAACTTATTTTCTGTGCCTTTAAAACTCAGTAAATTATAAAATAAGTTACTCCAAAATTCACTTGAGGATGAAATAGAACTACTGTTTTTAATTTAATTACAAAATTAAATTTGAAGCTTTTAGCTTCCATTTTTGAAACAGGGTTATTACTGTGTAGCGAAAAAAAAACATTTTAAATCAGCTAATTTATAATATTAATGTTCTGTAAATTTACATTGAGCACTATTTTGTAAAAATAAAAATATCAATAAGAACACCGGATTTTATATCTTACTGTTCTTTCTTTATATATATATATATATATATATATATATAGTAAAAATTCAGCTATAACTAAGAAAGACAATCAACATGAATAAAGATGAAAACTTTTCTTAAATGACAAGTTTCATCCTTTGATTTGCCTTAATAAAATCCATCAATACATGAAACATGTCAGTTAAAAAAAGTTTTCCTTTTGTCTTTATTGATAGAAATACATGTATGTCAACAGCAGGCAATGTAAGTTTCATAAAGACATAAGTATGCCTACAGCAGGCAATGTAAGTTTCATAAAGACATAAGTATGCCTACAGCAGGCAATGTAAGTTTCATAAAGACATAAGTATGCCTACAGCAGGCAATGTAAGTTTCATAAAGACATAAGTATGCCTACAGCAGGCAAATGTAAGTTTCATAAAGACATAAGTATGCCTACAGCAGGCAATGTAAGTTTCATAAAGACATAAGTATGCCTACAGCAGGCAATGTAAGTTTCATAAAGACATAAGTATGCCTGCAGCAGTGGAAGTGTTAAAAGAAGCTAACTGCAAAATTACTACTATTTACATAAGTAATCTATACAAATGAAATGAAGTGTCTATCTGTCTACAATAGACTCAGAAACAACAATGTATTTAAACTAAATTTAGCAAACAGATAGGATATGACTCTGGAAGTGTCATAGACTGTGTAAAGTTGACAGAGAGCAACTCTGAAGGTCATGAAAGCTCAAAAATACTAATTGTTATGGAAGTTAAATATTTATTCTCATGTACAAATATAGCTATAAGGGAGGTAAATCAACTTTTGGTAGTAAATTAATGTGAGCTTCCCATCATTTTAATAATCTATACAAATAAAATGAAGTCTCTGTCTTTTGATTTAGACAAAATTAGTTTCTGACCAATGCCAGTTATTTAAATAAAAGTATATATTTTTGCTCAAAATTTGAAATGGCTTCATAAAGTAATGACACAAGAAAATATATTTTTTTTAAAAATAAATTAAGCTTTTTATTTTCTTGAATGCATAAAACAACATTATACACGTTTCACAAAGATTTGGATACGCAAGTGTTTTTGTGCATCATATTTTGATAGTGAAAAGTAGCCCCTACCACCACACCTATTTTTATTGCTTCTTGCAAACCTTCAGACAAAGCAATATGTTTTTGTAAGGAAAAAGCTAATTTTATCAAGGCAGTAAGATTTGCAGAGGTGGATTGAGAGAAAGAAAAATTAGCTACTCACTGTAATTCTCGCTTTATGCTCAGCAACTCGCTTGACAACTTTTCGTAGGAATTCCACATACTCTTCAACTTTTTTATCATTTTTTTCAATCTCCTTTGCAGCCCTTAAGAAAGAAGGACAAAAAACAATGAAGACATTGGAAAACTATCAGTGCTCTATTTTATAACCAAGTTGTTGGTATAGAATGACTGAATAAGTTCCTGGAACAAAACAATTGGACAATACTAAATACAAATTAATGGTTTTGTTCTTAAAAACAACAGCTTTGTGGTTAAAAAAGGGAAAGGAAAGAAAATACAGACTATAAAGTAACATCTTTTTATTGATGAAATTAATCAGGTATCTTTTTTTTTCTGTTACAAACTTCCAAACTGAAATATATTCTCTTCATACTACAAAGTTATAAAATCATCACAATCATGAGTCTCCATAACTCTTTCAAGTCATAGGGGCACTACATGTACATCTGCCACAGAAGTGGCTTATCTTGAGCAGGCTGGTTTGAATTCAGAACTTTCCTTCTCCAAGATCAGTTGCCACCCAAGGCTATGAAACCCAGTCTGTCCTGCTATTTACCCATAGCTGGAGGGAAAAGAGATGATGTCATCCCTTTCCTAAGCGTATTAGCACATAAGTGAATGTAATGACTGAAATTCAAGCTCAGCTCTGATTCATCAATCCAAGCCACAATCCATTACTCCACCATGCCTCCTAAAGTCATAAAATACATTATCAATTATTTTAAAGTATCACTCACCCACCCTTATACAATATTTACTCATAGAGACTTTTCATAAAGAAAGACAAGGTAAAGAAATTTCCTCCTTTTAAGAACCTGCTAACCAAATATGTATACCCATAGGAAAAATCCTAAAAAGAAAAAAAGACAGATAAAGATAACATCTGAAGAACACGTGTTTGTTCAGCCCTTTACTCTTATTTAACTCCATGTGTTAAGTAAAATAAAGTCTAAAGAAGTCAATTCAAAATATGTGCTAGTTGGCTTCAAAACTTCATCTCTGATAAAGATGTCTACCAGGCAGTGAGAGAGCCTTGTTGATATTTAATCAACTAATATTAATTAATCATGAATCAAAAATAAACCTTCAGCAGAAATGTTTCACACAGCAACAAAATATTTAACAACATTCAATAAAACCTAACTTGAAATTCGTAACAGCAAACATTTCCCTTGACTACAGAAATAAATTTATAACAATTTTTATATTTTTTTGCACAATGCAAATAAAAATATTAAAAAAAAAAAATCATACAAAAAGCAGGTTATAAATTTGTCATGATTTTACTTAAACAAAAGCATCTTAATTTTATGAAGTTGTATAAGGAGAAAAAATATGTATTATTTCCAGCAACATGAAAGGTTAAAAAAAGGAAGTTGGAAAAATCTTTTGAAAAATGTAAAAATCAAAATAAAATTTCTACTTTAGTCATACATTTTAAATACAATCATCTACAATTTCTTATTTAAAGTAGCTTCCCTTCATGTTTCAATAAATGAAATTATACACTCTTCACACAAATGATTAAAATTAACCTATAGAAAATAAAATTCAGATTTACAGTCTTCTTGTGACATAATGGGTACAAGCTCTAATCAATTTCATAGGATGAAAAATACAGGGTTCTATTTTTAGTGTGAGAGAGAGCAGGCCTATGTGGGAGGCAATGATAAACAGCAAACCTCATCTGTCCCAAAACTGGCTTCATTGAAACCATTAAATTTTCATCGAAAAGTTATAAAAGTTATCTCCCTTGAATTTTCTATTTGAATCGGGCTTTTTTAAAATATGTATCATTTTTAAAAATACTTTTGTTTATCTATGAAAAAGACATTCATTTGCCATTTTCCTCGTAAATTCATTGCTGAATTCTTCATTCATGTAACAATGTTGCTTAATATTTTGGTTTATTAGAAAAAATGACGGAAAACAGGCGCATTTCAATATTTGTCTTATCCAAATTACATGTGTAAATGAATTAAATATTTTAAAAAATCTTCTGTATTAACTTATTACTCTTTCATTTATTTTTAATTGTATTTTATTTATATTTTATTTTTGTTACACAAAGAAAAGTATCAATTTCCTGGCTTTAACTGATTTCAACATGAAATAATCCCCTAAAGAAAAAAATAAAAGTTAATTTTTTACACTTTGATCTTTTGGTGAAGTAAACCGTTTCATGAAGTGAACATTCAATTTAATGATTTCGATGAAGTCAATTTTCAGATAAATGACATTCACTGTTATGAACTGGACCCTTCACATGCATCTGCCTTATTTGTGTATGTAATATATATATATATATATATATATATATATATTTCATTGTCAAGAATGAAAGTGATGTCATCATGTGTATATATATATATATATATCTCCATGATGACATCACTCATTCTTGACAATGAAATATTTATATACTTGAATATCATCAACTTACCATTCTTGCACTTTAGTCAGTTCCACTTTTCGCAAATCAATGTCATGCTCCAATTGTTGCACTGTTTTATGGCATTCATTCAGCTCTTCATATTCTTGGTCATAGAGGGCCTGCTTACTGCCAATACTCTGTTCATAAAGCTGATAAGTAAATAATATTTTTGAGTTATCAGGAAAAAAAAATTACTTTCAGTTTGTGAATTAAAGCATTATTCATCAATTTGGTGACATAGTAATTGCGAGTTCAATCTTTGGGTTGGACAGTGTGTATTTGGATACAGTGCGAGCAATAACTGAACATAATTAAAACAAGATATCCCTAGACATGGTCAGTGGAACAAGAACAATCTATCCTATAGATTAAGTAAAGGGCTGGGTTCAGTTTGAAATGGTTTGATGGCTGTAGCAGGCCATGGGTTTAATACGCATTGTGAATGAAACATGTCTCGTATCTTGAAATAAAAAGCCCACTACAAACATGGCAGGCTCAAGATGAGTCCAACCAAGAACCAATAAATATGTACAAACAAGTATATGTATTAAACAACAAAAAAGGGTTTACAAAAGACAAAAACGTTAATGTATGTGTGTGCATGAACATAAAGAGTTTGTGTTTCAAAGTATGCTCGTACATACGTGTGTGTGTGTGTGTGTGCATTGTGTCTTCCCACAAGTGGGAACACGTATCTTCTGCAAGAGCTTTACATGGTCACAGTTCTCTGAAAATGAAAGAGAGAGAGAGAGAACAAAGTATTCTCAAGTATTTATAGTTTAGTGAATTGGGAAATTAAGGAGGAGTTAACTCTAACAAGGCTACCTGGACTGATAAGCACCTAATGAAGGACAGTGGACACTACGGCTGAAATGTTGTGATAACAACAAAGATGAGGACAATAGTGTAAAAGTAAATAAAAATAACTCCCCAGAAATTCAGGATAAATTATCAAATGTACTGCTTAAAAGTAAAAAAACATTAAATCATTGTATAAATGGCCAGCATTTGTCTTGTTGCATATGAATAATATAGTTACAGTATTATTGGCAAATTAGCCAAATCTATTGCTTTCCGAACTCACTGTATCCAGTTTATCACCTAAATGATATTTATTACTATTTTCAGTTTCAATGACTTAATCGCCACAGATCTTAAAATTCTCAGACATAAGGTTTAAGAAAAACATGTATCTTTTATTGTTGGTTAAGACTTTAGTTGAATATACTCAAAGGCTTCATTAAGTTAATAAAAACTTCACAATAAAAACACACTTGTGATTTCTGTTGAATGATTTAGGCACTACAAAAAAAAAATTCTAGATGTGAGTAAATCATTTCCTCTTAAAAAAAAAAAAAAAAGTAATCAAATTAAATTTTTCTTTTTTATTTCATCCCCAAATGAGGTGATAAAAGCCACTGAGACACATGGAGTTACTGAGTGTGAAAAACTGAGAAAACATTATTGAAGAGAAAGAACAATGAAAGAACTGGATTCAAGAAAATACAAGATGACGAATGACATTGCATTTAAATTTCGTAAAGATTTTAATTGACAGGAAAGCAAAAAACCTGAAGAGAGTTCTATAAGTGAGAAATGTGGGGGGAAAAAAAAAACTATTAGCATAGAATGAAGGGTTACCTTTAGCAATTTTAACAGTGAAATTATGAGACCTATGCTTAAATTCACAAAGTCAAGAAACAAAAGAGGAAAATTCATCTGAACAATTACCATGAAAATCTTTATAGAAAAGGCTCAAAGAATCTACATTATGGTGATGGAAAAGTAACTGAAGCCAAGACACCTGGTCAGAACAGATGACATTACAAAATCTTTTTTGGATTTTGTCAAGAATCTCTAGATACACAGCAGAAGCACAGGACCAGATACAACAGCAAAATTCAATGCATGGACAAATAGTAGACTTATAAACATGCAAAATGTATACAGGCAAGTAACAATATATTTCTTTTAATTTATTTAAATAAAGTTGTTTAAATATTTGGACAAGATTACAATGGGGTGAGTTGGGTTATCTATTCACACAATTACAAAGTCTCTACTACAATGAGCAGGATGAAGTGACTATGAGTATTCATTGATATAACAAAAGTGGCAACATGTTTGTTGACATCACAAAACTCTGATAGGCATAAATAACTTGATTGAAAATAAGAAAATATTTTTTACTTACATTTTTTTCACTCTTAAATGTTTCTTCCATCCGTTTCAAATTGGTGCCGAGAGCTTTTACTTTATTTGACATTTCTTCTACTTGTTCAAGTTCCTGGAATAAAATAGAAAGAAAAATAAGATTGATAAGATTTATAAATTTGAAAAGGTACTGGATAGTAGCTCGGATTGAGGAATCAGCCGAGTTTGAATTCCATTCGAATCCATTACATTAACAGGTGCTAATACCCTTGGGAAAGATATGAATCCTCTTCTTCTCCCCCCAGCTATGGGTAAATAGCAGGACAGACTGGGTTCTATAGCCTTGGATGGCAATTGGTCTATTGCAGAAAAAAATGGCAACCTACTGTGGGGAAAAAAATCTGCCTCTTCAGTCATGTATTGATAGATACATGATCACCTAAGCATGTATCACACATGGTGCATAACTGACTAACTGAAAAAAAAAAATTAAAAAAAAAAGAAAGGATAATAAATATCAAATTTTAAAACCTGAGCTTTATTCAAAATCAGAATAGTTACTGAGATTTTTCTTCATAGAAGAGGAGACTTGAGGCAACAGAAGGGGTTGAGAATACCATGGATGGAGCATGTGAGCAATGAGAAAGTTTTAATGAAAATGGGAACAAAAAGGGCACTTGTATTAGGATCAGAAAGAAACATGAGGAAAGAAGGCTTTGAGAATTTGACACTCACAAGACATATTGAAGTAACTTACCTGATGAGCTTGTGTAAATGAATGGCAGAACAAGGAATAGGAGGGATATTCAGGAGACAAACATTAAAAATTAGAAAGGACAGGAAGTTGAAGAGAGCCATGATTGTCCACACCCTGAAGAAACACAGCACCTAAAACAGCAGCAGCTAAAATACAAGGCATGTTTATGTAGTAATGGTTATGTTATTTTCTGTTATAACTCTAGTTTATGTTTGCCATTTTGCCTGATATTTGGTAAGTAGTATCTCGTAAAATTGTTTTAGTTGTATGGGGAAGGAAAATTAAAAACTCATGGTTGAATCCATTTTTTTTTTTTATCAAAGTTCAAAATTACCCTATGCAAAAGTATTGGATACATCAATTTAATATTTTGTTGTGTAGGCTCTGTTTTGTTTCACTGCTTCCAGTCGCTTTCTATAGATGGCCACAAGTTTTCCACACTGATCCACCGTTACTTTACCTCATTCTTCCTTGCATAATTCCTCTAATTGCTTGATATTTTGTGGATTCCGTTTATGAACTTTAACCTTCAAAGTATTCCACAAATTCTCAATTGGATTCAAGTCAGGAGACTGACTTGGCCAATTGAGAGTACTAATACCATTATTTTCAAACCATTCCTTTGTAAGTTTTGCGGTATGTTTGGGATCATTGTCGTGTTGAAGCATGAAATTCAGACCATGTCCTAAAGAAGTTGCAGATTTCTGAAGGTTCTTCTCTAGAATCTCCCTGTACATGCTACCATTCATTCTACCATGGATAACTTGTAACTCACCAGTGCCCTTGGATGAAAAGCATCCCCATATCATAATGGAAGCACCCCCAAACTTAACTGTGGGGATGGTATTGTGCTTGTTGAAGGCAGTGCCATTTTTTCGCCAAACACTTGTCGGTGTGTTCCTTCAGAATAGTTTGTTTCATCCGACCAGATTACCATTTCCCAAAACTGCATACTTTTCTTTTCATAAGTTTCGACAAACTTTAATCGGTCTTTGACATGTTTGGTTTTCAGTAAAGGCACTTTTCTTGGTGATCTTGAATGAAAGCCTGTACGATATAGAGTTCTGCTAATGGTATCCTTACTTACATTAATTCCAGTACCCTCAAGATCAGTTTTAATTTCAGAATGAGTAATGAAGGGGTTTTTTTTTTTGCACATTTCTGCTGATCCACCTCGAAGTACTCTCATTTATTTTTCTAGGTCTTCCATTTCTTGGAAAGTTTTCTGTACTGTCGCCATATTTCTTATACTTTCTGATAATATTTCCTACTGTACTTAATGCTAGATTCATTTCTTTGCTAATTTTTTGGTAACCTTGTCCTCCTTTGTGACGTTCAATGATTCTATCTCACATATCTCTGGATAATTCTTTAATTTTTGCCATTTTTAATCCTTGAATTGCAGAATGCACATCAAAGAGTCAGATGATTAGTAGCACTATCTTGTAAACAATTGTGTGCTTCTCTGATTGGTCAGAGATAACATTCCAATACTATCGAAAATTTGAATATTTAAAGTCTTAAAATACAAAGTTTCCATTGGAAATTTGAAAAAAGTGTCATGTATCCAATACTTTTGCATAGGGTAATTTTGAACTTTGATAAAAAAAATGGATTCAACCATGAGTTTTTTAATTTTCCTTCCACATACAACTAAAACAACTTTACGAGATATTACTTTGTGTGTGTGGTTGTTTGTTTGAGTGGAAGTAATAATGGTAGAGTTAGTATTTAAATAAGTAAGCGAGAAAGATTATACTCAAATGAAAAAGAAATGAGGGTCTGCTTATTTCACATTTGACCAAACACTGAAGAAATCACACAGGTTTTACACTAAATAATCTACACAAATAGTTGACTAGAAACATTGAAATAAAGTAAATTCATATTTGTGTACATTTTTTTTTAAAAATACATAGTTTTATTTCATAATATTTAAATGTATACCCTTTAAAAACTTTGCTAAGTGTGCCATGATATTTTCCTTTGCTCCTAGGTGTGCTGTTGCTTAAAAACATTGAGAAACACTGGGCTAGAGGAACATCAAAAAGCTGTAATCAGCAGCAAGACAATGAAATCAGGCATGGCTGATCATGTATAGACAGAAAAGGGTTGTTACAAATCCCTGTGGAATTAAATAAAAATACTAGACACTAGAGAGTCAGACTTCTGGAAGAATCTGCATATATGTTAGGTGATAAGGGCCTCCTCAGTAGACCTAACAGAAATAAATAAAATATAGGAGCCATTAATAAATAAATAAAAAAAATGACAGCAAGGCTTCAACAGCAGTAAGTAAAGAAAAGCCTTATTGAATGCAGCCAAGTGCAACAAACAACAGCAGTCTCAACAGCAGGCAGTTTAGTGTTAAGACTCTACACTCAGGATCATAGATTAAATAAAAGGTTCAGTTTGAAAATTCCCTGAAGGTTACCAGGATTGACAATCACTTGAAGAAGCCCACTTGATAATAGCAATAAAGATGAGGACAATAGTCCTTAAAGTAAATAACGTAAATAAATCTTAGAGAAATTCAGAGAAAAATCAAATTACCTGTTCAAGAACGTTTTCAAGCTTTCTTTTTTCTGCATTAGCAACATGAACTTCATCAGCAATTTTATTCTTCACTTCAAGTAATTGTAACTGGAAAAGAAAAATAGACAAAAAACATCATATTAACAAATCAATATTTGAATAATTTATCACCAAACACTAATCTGTTCTTCTATTAAAGTAAATTTGTTTAATTTTTTTCTTGTAAAAAGCAAATGAACATTTTACTGCAAACCAAAAGAAACTAATAAATGTATAAAAAAAAAAAATTTATAAAGAAATTATATATTATGAAATAGACCAAGTCCAACAGTTATTTTAATATATTTTCTGTTTATACGTTATTTTTATAGATACAATTATAAATAAATGCTCTGTTTATAATAAACAGTATTAATTGCATTTACTGGTCTGAATGTCCAAGAAATTTTGTACAAAATATGTGTCCTCCGACAGGAATCAAACCTGTATCCTACACAGGACCATCAATTGGCATGACATACTACACTATTTAGCATCTGGGTAGCAAAGTCAAATTACTGTTTTTAAACAGACAAATTTTTCTCAAATGATCATATCTGCTCAAAGCATATAAACAGAAATATATTAAAATAATCGTCAGTCCATTTAACAATATATGTTTCATTTGTTTACATTAAGATATGCTTCAAGCAGATATGATCCTTCGAGAAGGATCGTGGGAACTGTTTTTGTTTAAAAACAGTAATTTGACTTTACTAACCAGATGCTTCCTCTGTAGTTGAATGGTATAGCACATCAGGCCAAATGACAGTTCTGTGTAGGATACAGGTTCGATTCCTGTCAGAGGACTCATTTACTAGAGAATTTCCTGGACATTCAAGCTAGCAAATGTAATTAATACTGTTTATTATAAATAGAGCATTTACTTAAATAACTGTATCTATAAAAATAACATACAAGCAGAAAATATATTAAAATGTAGAATTTATATAAATAAACAGACACCAGTGTTAATAATTAATAAGGATCTTTATTAATAAACTAAATAAAAAAATATGAGAAACTAAAAATAAAGTTAAGATGCTTCTTTCAAGGATTTATAGTTAGTTGGTTTAGGCCTGTTTAGGGTCAAAGGTTAAACATAGCAGGGTTGTCCTCCATAGATAACTAACTATATGGGTGGGTAGGAAGGAAGATATTCTCGTGTCAGGCTGATAAGAGATAAAGCAAGGTAAATTCAAATAAAGGAATAAAAATAATTTTGAAACAAAAAGTTTATTCTTGTTGAAAAAAAAAAAAAAAAAAAAATTTTGTATTAAACATTTATAAAAATCAATTTTAGTTTACATTTAAACAATGTCATAGAGTATTTGTGAAAGTTCAAATGATAAATAATTTTCTTTTGTAAAAGAGCTCACTTAAAGTATATTAAATGTTAATTACAAATTTAAACAAAAACCGAAGAAGATGGAAAAATAGTTCATATGGTGACAGAATTCTAAGAGAAAAACTGATGTGATATGTATCAGTTGAAAAAGATCTCAACCAGATTAAATTTTTTCTGATTAATTATAAACTATCATTGGCTCCAGGTTTTGCTTTTTGGCCGGAGAAGTTTTCAATGGCTGAAATCTTTCCTTAATCTATATTATTTTTCATCTGGAAGTTATGTGTCAAAGCAGTTGCACAGAAATGAATTTTTGTCTATTTGTATATTATTTTTGGAAGTGTTACTTTCCATTTTCATGTCCAATTCACAACATATTAATCTTACTTTGTTAAAAAGCAAGGCTATGCCTAATGGCCTGAGTAAATGTGTGAAAAAAAAACAAACAAAAAAACAAAAAAAACGCTGCCATATATGGTTAGGTGCTCCTGTTATATATTTAGAGATTCTTGATAAAATTTAAAGAATCTGCAATGTTATTGGTCCTGACCTGGCATCCTGGCTTCAGTCACATTCCCACCATTGTAATGTAGCTTCCCTGTGCCTTTTCTATAAATACTTTCATAGAAATTGTTCTCATGAACTTTCCTCTATGATACCTTGATTTTATAAATCTAAGTGCAGTACTAGATTGGCAACAAGGTTTCATCACTTTACAGTTAAATTGGCTAGATGTAATCGTAAGTTCATTGCTAACAGTTTCTTTTCTCACACTTCTTGCCTGTGGAACTGTTCCAGCTTCTTGCTTACCAGCCAACTTTGTTCTTCAAAAATTTAAATGTGTTGTCAATCATTATTACAGGCTTCCCACAGATCTGTGCAAAAAAATTCCAGGACCATGTTAAGAAGTTTCAAGGGCTGAAGCTGGCACACACACACACACACACACACACACACACACAGTAAATGGTCATCAGTTTCAAAAACACAAACTGTGATTTGTCTTTTAATAGTTTGACAGATGAGATGTCCAAAGAAAAGCTATAAATGGTTTCAATAATTCATGTCACATGGAACAGTTGAAAGCAGTGAAGAAAAAGTGTTGAAGGCTAAAATACAAATGAATGCAGACCTGGTTGTATAGTATTCTACACAGTTTGAAGTTCTAATACACTTCATAATTTTGAATTACACACTTTAATTCTTACTGCTACACATTTCAGCTATCTAGACTCTATTCGCGATTTGTGAATGTTACAAAAATTCTTGATGGCGGCACATTTCCTGTAAAATTAAGTATAATGGTTTTAATGAACAAAACTACAAATAGACATTTTCACAAAAAGACTACACATTTTAGCTGCACCCATGAGTAGTAGGGGTAGCTATCAGAACACATTGATGTTAACATTTTTTCAGTTCATCTAGTTTAGCATTCAGCTCCCCTTCCAATTTTGATATCTCTATGGATTTGTCCTTTGCAGATCTTTGCATGGCATTGGATTTTGCAATTAGTGTGAAGTTCTGAGTCTACTCAGTCTTTCAATTTTGTGTTTTTGGTCTTTAGTTCTTCAGTTTCCATAAACATGGAAGCACTGCAGAGAAGAGCCTTAATCATGGGAACATTCCCAGCACCTCTAACCAAACCAGAGTCTGCTGTTTCACATTGTCAGTGGAAATTTCCTTATTAACTGAGAAAACTCTACACTAAGGCATATCAATGTGAGAGTACCAGCAATCTGTAAACAACTTTCCAGTTTTTGATATTTTTTGTTGATAGACAAAGTGTCCAGATGGTCTTCATGCTTGCTGAAATTCTTGAAAGCAATATTTCCAGCAGCCCCCTCCTTGAATTCTTTGTACTGACTGATGATGTCATCACATTCAGATTTGCTGACTTGTTTTCTATCCATCATGTGGGAAAAACTGTCTTCTGTGGCAAATTTTTTTTCACAAATAGATCCAGAGTTCAGCCATGCATGTGACCTTACAAAAGGGTATCTAAGGGGGAGACTTTAGCAGAAGTTTCTCTATGATGGTGATGAACATTGTTGCAATTCTGCATGCAAACAGATCTTCTGTTGACACATTTTACTTTTTTGGATAAATTTTGCATAGCCCCATCTTCCAGAAATCCACACTCGAACTTTGCAGTATCTTTATGCATCAGACAAATTCATTCAATTTGGAAAATGTAATTATCTTTTTAATGTGTACTTCCTTTAACAAACCTTAACAGTCTCATGATGATGATAAAAAGATCATCTACAAGGAAAGGAAGCAATGGTTTATCGCTCTATTTTATCAGAAACAGTTCAATATCTTGAAACAGACACAAAAATTTGCAGTTTCATTGGAAATAAAACGTCATTCATGTTTGACAGCACCACAGAGAAGGATTTGGTCTGGGGACATTTTTCTGTTTTTTTTTTTAAGTTCACAAATTTGATGACATCTGGCCCAATGTCTAGGAGTCAGTCCCATGTTTATACATTTTCTAGCCATCAAAGGTAAAAGTACAAAAAAGTAAAGGGCAAGGATAATAATTATTTTTAATTTTTTAATATAAAGCCAAGAAATAAGTTTTAATATATTTCATCATCTTTTCACACTTACAAAAGCTAAAGATACAGGTTATTATTAGCCTGAAAACTTTAAAAATAACATTCTTCTTTTTTCAAAGACACAGTTTCTATTCTATTATCCCCCCCCCCGGTCTACATTTTCTTTGTGTCAAATTTGATTCTCAAACTTGTTACTTTTGGCAACAACTTAGACAAACATAGTTTATACATAGATACACATGGACATGGATGCGTAAAGTATCTATCTTTCAGCATAAACTCACCCACTGCTGACTAGAGATCAAAAGGACTTTTAATTTTTCAAATTGACACGTGAATAAAATTTCTTCAAATTTTAAAAACAATAAATTTAAGCTTCTACTTAATTTATTTTCCTTTCAACTACAAATTCAATGTGTAAATTTATCTTTGACAGAGATGTTTACTTTCTCTGACACCTTTATCTTTGCTTTTCTTCTTTTCTTGTTGAGTAAGGGTAATAGCTAAGAGAAGACATACTTTCATATTCTTTCTTTCTCGTCACCTCGTCGAGAAAATAAAGAAGTAACTATGAGGTCATGAACTCATAATCAAAATGCCAGATTTCTGGAATTTGGCATTTAGACTTTCATGAATTGAGAAAAGGGATGTTTGGGCAGCCCAATTTAGAATTTTCCAGGACTTTTCAAGGTGCTTTTGAGCTGTTGCTGGTTTTCCAGGTCTTTTCAAGCCCTGGAAAAAGCCCTGTCAACTTTTTAGGACTTTTCAAGGTTTCCAGGACCTGTACAAACCCTGTTATCTACTGTCTTCTTGATTCCTTCTATCATTCTTGCTCCTTAATAAGGTTTTCTTTTTCTTATTCTTTCATGCCCTTGTCTTAGTGGCTTTATTGCCTTGCTTGGAGTGAAATGATTAAAAAAAAAACCTAAAAGATTAAGATTAAAGTAAATAAAAGTCAAATTGATAATGATAATAATACTGATACTGATATCAATTGTGTAAAAACAAAGTAAATATAATGCTGATAAGAACTGTGGAATGGAGAGATGAGTTATAGGTTAAATTAGTTCTTTTTATAAAGCCATAAAGTTCCCATAGCTTAATGGTTAAAGCAACTGTCCATTTACCAGGCTTCACCAAAGCAAAAGAGGACACAA